GGGGGCAGTAGGGACCTGCCTGAGTGGAAACCTGCTGCTGCAGCCAGCCACCTGGATTCTGGAGAAACAAAATGGCAGAGAAACAGGCAAACACCCCCAAGAAGAGAGGCTGGCGGGGTGGGGTGGAAAACAGAGTTTTCAAAGGAGCTTGCTGTTTATAACCCGAACCCAGCCTCTCCGGACCAGAGACCCCAGGATGCTGAAGTTCTGTGCCTCCGAGACCCATGGGACTTGAAAGGCAGATCCACCCCCTAGAAAGTGAAATTGCCCTTCTCAGAGGGAACAGGAAGATAGATGGCCATCCGATTCCCAGAGAAACAGACCCCGGAGGCTGCTGCTAAGAGGTGGATGAGCCAGGTACGCGGAACAAGCGGGAGCGGCCAAGCAGGTTCTGGGAGATAATAAACCACACATAGATAATGAACCACACATCTTCAACTATCCTGAGCCCCTCGGCTGGAAAGGTTGCTGGATGAGGTAACTCCCAGGTCGCTCTCACAAAAGAGACCTGCTGGGAGCTGGACGGAGGGCCAAGGGGGTGACCTTGGTTCCCCTCTGCTGCACTTTAAATAGATACTCACCCATTTGCGTGTATCTGCGGCCAAGACGGTTGTTGTTTCGCTAAGAACTGGGGCATGTAGCTTGACGTGTGTCTTAGTCTGTGGAGGTAGAAGGAGCTGAGTGGGCTGGGGGTGTAGCTCAGTGTTAGAGCTAGCACCGGGTAATAGCCTCCGGTCTTTAGGAATTGAGTCAGGCTGTACTGGGCAATAGCCCCTAACCATCAAGGGTTCCTCGGCTTCACCTGCAGAAACAGTCGGCCTCGTATGGAAAATGACCCACCCTGCTGCCAGCCAAACCACAGAAAAAAAGAGCTGGAACTTCCTGGTGGCTACCCATGTATATGTAACGTGCCCCTGTCCCATTAAATGTACTTAGCCTTCATCCCCTAGCTGTTCTTCTCAGTCTGTTGCGCTCCAGGATGTCAACCTCTCGGCCTCATTTTTCTTACGTCTGGTGCAGAAACCTGAGATCCTTTTAGGGTCCTCTGGGCAGAAAGCCGCACTTCCCCATTCCCCCTTCCCTAGGGTCCTTCCTCTGGACACATGGGCACCATCTAA